CGGCCAAAGACCAAGACACAGGAGAAGCAACTAGATGTCGAAGCAGACGGTGGACGTTGCCGAGAAGAGAAGGGAAGGGAAGCCAGCGCAACACAACGATCTCGTTAAGGAGCTTAACGAAGGATTTCAGAGCAAGAGGGCCCCACCAACACTGGCAGGGCAAGCTACTATATATAAACAGGAAGCAAACCCCACACTCACTCACTCACTCCGTCACTCACACTTATGATGTTCCCTAGTTGGGTAATGAAATGCCTGCAAACAAACAGCCAAGCTCAGGACTCCAAAGGAGACTTAACAGAGTACGCAAACTATGATACAATATCCTTAATTTCACATGTTGGTAAGATGATGTTTGGGATCATTCTACACGGATTAAAGCCCTACATGAAAAAGGAGATGCCAGGTGTTGAAGCTGATTTTAGAAAATACCAAGGAACAAGAGACATTATAGCTGATGCCTGCTGTATAACTGAGAAAGCCAAAGAATACCCCAAAGAAGTCAGATTGTGCTTCATCGATTATAGCATGGCCTTTGATTGTGTCGATCATGTCAAGCCGTGGAATGTCCTTAGGAAACTGGGGATCCCATTGTCCTCATATGAAACCTGTACACAGGACAAGACGCCACACTCAGGTGAAGCACGGTGAAAGAGAATGGCTCCAGGTTGGCCGAGGAGCGCAACGAGGCTGTATACTCTCCCCTTATTTATTCAACCGATATGCTTTAATACATATTGAGAGAGGCTGGATTGAAAGAAGATGAGTGAGGTTTTAACGCTGGAGGAAGAAACATCAATAACCTGCACTATGCTGGTGACACTGCTCTGGTAGCTGAAAATGCAAATGAACTGCAAGCTCATGAAATGAAAGTCAAGGAGCACAGTGAAAAAATAGGACTACGATTAAGTATAAGGAGGACCAAACTAATGACAACAGGTATGACACCAGCCTCAGAACTGACAATGAAGATACTAAGTGGTGGAGAGCTTCTGATTTTAGAACCGACTATTAGCAGAAAAGGACCAGCAGTCAAAAGTTACACTGCAGACGAGTGCATGGAGCCTTGGAAAAATATTCCGATACCATTATATGTCTATACCTACAAAGATCAAAACTGTGCAAGCAATGATTTCCCTGCAACTCTCCATGGAAGCAAAAGTTGGATTTTGAAGAAGCAGGATTAGAAAGAATATTGACATTTTTGAATGTTAGCGTTGGAGAAGACTCATGAAAATACGATGAAAACAAATCAGCCCAGAGTTTTCATTCAAGTCACAAATAACCAGGCTCAAATGATCGTATTTTGGACACTTTAGGCTTAGCTTTCTGGAAGGAAAAAGAAGAGAACGACCACCAGCAGAAGATGGGCTCAGTTACAGCAGTGCTGGGAGTGCCTTTGGAAGGCCTGAAGGGCCAAGCTGGGGACAGATCCTCCTAGAGAAGGTCCATCTGCACGGTTGCTAAATGTTGACACAAACCTGATGGCACCTAATCAGTCAATCAATTTTGTGTATTAATGGCTCTTCTTATTTTAAGTTGTCATTGGAATTTTTGCTCAGAGGTGGTACAGAAACCTCCAGGGCAATAAAAAGCTTGGAGGACAGAGCCCCTTGGAGTCAACTCCCATCAAGAGCAGGTTCTGTGACTGACCACATTTTTCAGTTAACGCCTGGAAGGCAGGCTGCTAGATCTTCCTATTTACTCTTGCAAGTTGTGAGATAACAAACTTTTTGCTCTAACCCTGATCAGATAATTATTTTCCTCTTTTGTCCTATGTAGCAGGCGTAGCAGGGGCCCAGGGCCTGCTAGATCCTTAATCCTCATTAACAGGTAACCTTCCCTTGCTGATGCCGAAACTAAGCAACTCTGAGGTGGACGGGTTGCTGGGCTATAAACCTTGCCCAAGGAAAGCAACGCCATTGTGAGTCAAATTCTGGAGACCCTCCCTGCCATTTGGGCCCACTGTGGCAGATTACAGAAGGACCTCTGGTGCTGTAAGTAATTAACGGGGACAATTTAAATAAGTATTATGCTGTTTGTTTTGGTCCTGGTACCTCCTTTAATGTCCTCCTGCTTCCGAATCTGTCCTGCAAATTCTAAATTAGCCACCCACCCAGGAATTTAAATTAAACATGTGGTTCTGCCTGCCCGTTCCACCCCCAACCCCGGTCCAGGCCATTTAAGGGGAGGGAAGCTGGGCAGGGCCACTGCTGTCTTCTGCAAGGGGTGTCCAGTTGGCTCCTGGAACCAGGCCTGTGGTGGGTAGGGCACGGACCAGGTGCCAAGGGGCATTCTGGTTGCCACTCTCTGCTGCTGTGCAGGATGTGGAAGGACAAGATTTAAGGGAGAGCCTCCATCTGGGCTGGCATCCATCACTGTCTCATCTTGGCTCCTACAGCAATATTTATAAATCACATCTCAAAACTAGCTACAAATTTGTACAAAGAAACAGATGGGCTGTTGGCGGCAGTTTGTCACCACTGATATTTACGCAGTGCCGGCAACAGCAAGCGAGGGGAGCCAGGAGGGGGAAGGGGTCGTGGGGAAAGGCACTCGTAGCAGGGGGAGAGCGGCAGAGGTCCCGGCCCTGGGGACCAGGCCCCGGGCAAGTCTGAGG